CATTCTGCGGTGCGTAAGGTCACTGTGGATCGGAACTGAGTCAATGGCAACTAACAACATTTGTATACTCTCTAGAGGATGCAGCCTAATTCAGCATTTAATCACATTTATCTTTGACAAACCATCGATCATATATGAAGAAAAGAGGTGCTGATCATAAAACGTGTTGGAAAAATTATTTAAACATAAAAAATATTACAATAGATTTCTACCCCATTTAATTAATAGAAAACAAGTCAAGTCATATTAAAGGCTTTGAACTTTTAGAAGAAAATTTAGAAAAATATTTTTAAGTCTTTTTCTAGGAAACGTTTTCTTAAATGGTGATAAATAGTTCAAATGAATAACAAAAATTGATCAATTCAACTATATTCAAACTGATAATTTATCAATCACTCTAAAAATACGATAGCCAATACAAAGAGGAAATATTTGTAGTATCTTGTCACTGATGGAATTATTTGGAGAATTATATATAGTGCTCAAATTCATAAGCAAAACCTAGTGGTTAAAAAAATAGAAAAATAGGAAAATAATATAATTGTTATTTTCAAGACATAAATGAGAATTAATGATAAAATATAATATATTCTTCATTGCAATTATAGAGAAATGCAAAATAAGGTCATTTGACACTCACTACACGAGAAAAATTTATTGTGGATAATATAAATATCAAGTTATGTCTTAGATACATAGAAACAAGAAAATTCAAACAAGCTTGTAGAACTGCATGCTTTAACGACTAATTTGTAACACAGTGAAATATCTTAAAAGTTGAATATGTTAACTACCATCTAACCCAGAAAGTTTTCCAAAGTATATCATTAAAATAGAAAAAACAACCATATACATGGAAACCGAGGAGCTGATTCAGAGTATTGTGTGTAGTAGAAAATATTAGGAGAAAAAACATTTTGGATAAGTAATCCACAATCCACCCACATAATTTGCCATTAAGTAACAGTAAAAATAAACTATATCTAGAGACATTAACATGCATGAAACTACATGAGCACTCAGATGAAAAAAGTCAGTTTCCAGAATCATGCAAACTTTATTACTCTATCTTTTTTTTAAACAAAAGGCACAAATGAATCCCCAATAAAATATATTTTGTTAAGGTCAACAGGCTCAAGTAGTAAAATTATCACTGAACCTTCGATATAGTTTGTTTCAAGACCATAATTATGGCTTCTGAGTGAAGAGATGGAATCAGGGACGGAGGAAAATAGAACATCAAAACTAATCTCACTTTCTTTTCTATTTATAAATGTCTATTGTAAAATCTTCTTACACGTTATAGTAATACATAAGTGTGTATCCGAGAATGTCTTATCTCACTTGGATAATGTTTGAAAATCTGGAATAAAAATAGACTCGTAATACTTATTTTAAAATGAATTCCTCAATCCATGGGTTTGAGATGTCATCGGTTTCCCATAGCAATGGGGTCTGCGCTGTGACAACAGAAGTACGCACCTGCAAGTTTATGGACTTACGTATGTCAGAGTATTCATTATTATGTAAACAAAGTCATGAAATGCAATAAGGTTTACTTTTTTTAAATACATTCTACACTAACTTGTGATTTTTCTTTAGAGAGTATTCCTAAGATTTCATATCTTTGAAGTTTTCCTTTGCAGATCCAAAGACCTGAGAAAGTTGTTTCAGTAATATGGAAACGTGTAAGTTTGAGAGGTAAATATGTTTCATGATTTTAGACATATCTCAGCTGCATGAAACAAAAGTTAATGGATTCAACATCATTAAATTATGATTCCTTTAAAAGATTTTGCCTTCCCAAAAACTTTTAGAAAGGCACTCTTGACCTCTTTATTCCTCAAACTGTAGACTAGGGGGTTCAGCATGGGGATGACGATGGCATAGAACACAGATGCCATTTTGTCTGTGTCCATGGAGTGACTGGAGC